AATTTTTTTTGTTTAAAAATATATTAAAATAAAATATTTTTATTTTTAATATTACTACATTAAAATAATTTTAAAATATAAGAAAAAATTAATTTTAAAAAAATTAATCTTTTTAAATATTTTTAAGAAACAAAAAAATAGTATCTTCAGTTATCGTTCTCTCTGTCTGATATTTTTTAAAAGCTAAATATACATTTAAAATAAATAAAAATAGAGTTTTAAATATAAAAACAAACGCGTTTTAAAATCAAGAGGATTAAAGGCAAGTGATTAAATAAATTTAGTTTTATCTTTTAATTTTTGGTATAGATATAAAAATTGCAGTTGAATATATTGTATTATCATAAGATATTATTTTTAAAATCGTTAAAAGCCAGTCCAAGTTATCCATGGGCGCACACAACTAAATTCAAAGCAGTTGGTCACGGTGGAGTGGACCACTGAAAAAGAAAAGAAAGAAAGAAACAAGCTCATGGAAGCAAAAATGAAATCCGCAACAGCGGGTTATTTCTCTGAAAATACCGGGAAAACTGAAAACAGAGAAGCCTTTCCTGCTCTGCTATGGCTGCACCAGTAAAGAGACACATGCAGCGTAGCAATTAATTACTAAAATCTCTCTCTCTCGAAACTGCACTGCTCCTCTCTCTCTCTCTCTCTACATCCTAGTTTCTCGTGCCCAACCACAGCACCCGCATTTCTCTATCATGGACGGTGACTTAAATGCAGCTGCAGACACCTTCATGATTGCTTGAAAATGTTTGCCATCTGAAGTTATCTTTCTTTTCAGTGACGATACCAAGTATGTAAATAGAAGTGACGCCTTTTCTTTCTCAGTTTCTTTTTCTTACTGTTTGTTTTCTTTAGGAAAAATTAGCTCCAGGAAGAAAACTCTGGCTTGCATTTTTCTTTTTAAATGAAAAATGATATGTGCATGTTCTTCTTTGATTTTGCACCTCTTTCTCTGATGTTTCAATTTCTGTTTGGTTGCTGAGAAAATAGAACGTTATTTATTGAGTCATGCGGTTCAGTTTGATCTGATTTCCATTATTTGATTTTTGTTTTCCTCTAAAAGATCTTGGTTTAGATTTTTTTATCAATTTCCTTTTTCCTTCTTTTTGTTATTTCCTCAAAGTATTATTATTATATTATTATTATTATTAAATGGAATCGAAAGAAAAGGTCATGTGTCTTAAGCGTGCTTTTAGGATCTTTAACTTCAAAGGGTGGACCGATCATATAATCATGCAGTTAGCTTGAATGCCATGCCGTGGAGTACTTGTTTTGATTATTTATTTATTCGCTTGCTTGCATGTGTTGAGATCTTTTCAGTAGGGAGGCTATCACATGCCTCGATTTAATTAAAATGTTTAACTTGTCTGCCTTTTCGATTACAGTTCCTTTGATTTCATCCAATTTGAGCATTTTAAGTTAGCTAACTAATGGGTTGTTAGGAAAACAAAAAATAAAGTGAGTTGGTAATTTGCTCAAAAGATATAAGTACTCTTGGTGGTGTTTGCTTCATCCACTTAATTATTGCTTCTTTAAGGTTCGAATTCATGGGAAATAAGTGGGTATTCTGAGGTAAATAATCTGTGCCGTTTCTTTTTTTATGAATGTTTAGGAGTAATGGTGGAATTAATGAAGCATTTTAAAGAGATTTGATGAAATTCTTTGTGTGCTTTCATGATTGAATTCTCCTGGATGTACACAGAGCTAAGTTACATATTAGAATTGTTGCTGATCATTGGGATTTTATGAATGACTGGAGTTGGTTTGCTTTCTAGCTGATAGATATATATATATATATATATATATATATATATATATATATATATATCAACTCTCCCTGATATATATATATATATATATATATATATATATATATATATCAGCTCTGCTGTGAACTGAGCTGCCCGAGAGGGATAGCCGTTACTGTAGCAATATTTACCAAGTCATTGGTTGGCATACGGATTCACTTTTCTCTCTGTTTTAATTACGTTTTGTAAAATTCCATTTTAACGAAACCAGTTTTGTGCAAGTTCTTCTGCTTGCTATTCAATTCAAATGCACTAGTCCATTCAGTCATTTAGTCAAAACTCATAAATTAGTATTCATTCCAATTAGAACTCATAAATTAGTATTCATTCCAATTAGATTTACCAAGTTCAGCTTCAGTTATCTCACATCGTGATTATTGACTTGTACCCTTTTTGACACGCCTAGCCCCTTATGTTCATTTGATGTTTTCTTTCATCTGTGCATTGCTTCTAAATTACATTTCTTCTTTGTTGATATTTGCATCACAGTTTTTTACAAACAATTGTTGTTGTTTTCTGCACTGCAGGTACCTATAGTCCAGTAGTTCATAATATTTGCTAAACGAGCCTGGTTGCTTCTGCATCATGATGAGCAACATTAAGCTAGGGGTAGAAGTGGTTAGTGCCCACAATCTTTTGCCCAAAGACGAGCACGGTTCATGCAGTGCCTTTGTAGAGCTCGACTTCGATGGCCAGAGGTTCCGCACGACCATCAAAGAAAAGGATCTCAATCCTGTGTGGAATGAGAGTTTCTACTTCAACGTCTCTGACCCTTCCAACCTCCACCATCTCACTCTTGATGCCCATGTTTACTGTAACATCAGAGCTACCAACTCCAGGTCCTTCCTTGGTAAGGTTTGCCTCACTGGGAATTTATTTGTACTGTACTCTGATGCTGTTGTGTTACACTACCCTCTGGAAAAGCGTGGAATTTTCTCACGTGTGAGAGGAGAGCTTGGCCTGAAAGTTTATATTACCGATGATGCATCCATCAAATCCTCTACCCCGCTTCCTGCAGTCAAATCTTTGCCAACTAAGGATCCAGGCTTAACACTTACTGAGGCTCCAGGGGTCCACCCCGTGACAAATTCTGTACCTCATAAAAGAGTTGAGAGACACACCTTTCATCATCTTCCTAACCCAAATCACCATCAGCATCAGGATCATTCTTCTGCTCCAGCAATTAGCCATCATGTACCAAAGTACGTGGTTGACGAGATGAAAGCTGCGGAAGCACAGCCTCCGAAGTTAGTCCGCATGTACTCTGCGTCATCATCACAACCTGTTGACTATGCCCTTAAAGAGACAAGTCCCTTTCTTGGTGGGGGAAGAGTTGTTGGGGGGCGGGTTATTCACGGAGACAAGACCGCAAGCACTTATGATCTTGTTGAACGGATGTACTTTCTGTACGTGAGAGTTGTTAAAGCTCGTGATCTTCCTGCCATGGATGTTACAGGAAGTCTTGATCCATTTGTTGAGGTGAGAATTGGAAACTACAGAGGAATTACAAAGCACTTTGAGAAGAAGCAAAATCCAGAGTGGAATCAGGTGTTTGCTTTTTCAAGGGAACGGATGCAAGCTTCTGTTTTAGAAGTCGTGATCAAGGACAAGGATCTTCTTAAAGATGACTTTGTGGGCGTCATAAGGTTTGACGTCAATGAGGTTCCATTGCGAGTCCCACCAGATAGTCCTCTAGCTCCAGAGTGGTATCGGCTTGAGGACAAGAAGGGAGAGAAGATAAAGGGCGAGCTGATGCTTGCAGTATGGATTGGAACCCAAGCAGACGAGGCCTTTCCTGATGCCTGGCATTCTGATGCAGCTACCCCTGTAGATAGTACACCAGCTTGCTCCACTGTGATACGTTCAAAGGTCTATCATGCACCGAGGTTGTGGTATGTACGTGTTAACGTTGTTGAGGCACAAGACTTAGTTCCATCAGAGAAGAACCGTTTCCCTGAAGTGTATGTTAAGGTACAGATTGGAAACCAAGTTTTGAAAACGAAGACATATCAGGCTCGGACTTTTAGTGCCTTGTGGAATGAGGATCTTTTATTTGTTGCTGCTGAACCGTTTGGGGTCGACCTGG